AATAGACGCACTGTAGTGTTTTAATAATTATATGATTTGCACGAGTTTATATGCAATACTTTTATATTTAAACAGAGATGTAATGGGTTTTTATTCAGGAGATTTTTTATATACTTATATACTTCCTATTGGTATTTATTTTCAACGTATTACATTACGATAATTTTAATGCAGGACACAATTGATACAAGAGCGCAAGCAAATGTAAACCGGTTTCATCCGAATAAAAACAATACAGCTGTATAGTATCACCTAATAATTATAATTTTACATAGAATCTTATAATGCGTCTAATAATTTGGCCAGTGACTGTAGAATCGAGTGTAAAGGATTTAAAAAGCTAAAGTTTCAAAATCGGCGACGGACATAGTAAGAAAGAAATAAATTAAAATTAATTATCAACCAATATATCAACTGAGCATAATAAATTTGCAGAAAACATTTCAAAATTCACTGTCGAAGAAGAGATGGCAGATCAGTATTTTAAAATGCTTAAATAATGCACTATTATTATTTTTTTAAATTGCAGTAGACTGCCATTTTTAAAATAATTCCTCAACTTTTATGTTGTCAACGCCTCACGATCAGATTAGCAGGCTAACACTAATTAATTTTTCTTAGATGACTACTACAAAAGATTAAAACAACACCCTTCGAGAAGGTGTTCTTTAACCATCAGGAAATATTGATTAATTAGTGTTCTAATGAATTAAAATGAAGACTCCAGGAATGATGATTCAGATTTTTATAGTTTAGAGATCAAACTATTTACATTTTCATTAAATTTATTTACAGTTTAAAATTTTATATTTGTAATTTATTGTCTAATAATTGCTAAACATTACTGGAGCATGAAAAAAAAAAGGTTTTCGGGATATAATTATTCCAAGGAAAGGTAGTGGAATTTTCATAAGATGTGGTTTATCATTATTTACTCCCGAGATTTCAAATTACAAAATCAGACGTAAGAACTTTCAACTTTGGGTAAAAAATTGGTTTGTATTCAGAATCTTTGAAATGAGCTGAAAAATAAAGTTAGGTAGAATAATTTATTGCTCCCAGGTTTAGAAAAAATATTTTTTTTTAATATTTTCTTTCCCTCTAACTCTTGGATGCAGAATTTTTATTTAATATATTTTTCAGACGTTTCTCATTATGTTGTACAATTTAAATAAAAAATAAGTAAAAAATTTTGTACTTAGAACTTTGATAATTTATGGTAATGAAATACAGCATGAAGCACTGGCGTCTTTTTCAACGCTAAAGGTAAAATTTTCCTAACACGGTTCACTTTCAAACAATAATTTTTCAAATTTGAACATATTTGCAATTATGTAGATCTAGGAGAAACAATCACTCATCACTGAAAAATCAATTATTGGCATGTATTTGAAAAATAAATGGAAAAAAAACATTTCTCAAACATTCAAAACATTTATATTTTAGCACAAAAATAATTCGGATACTTTAGCTGATTTTTTTAGTAACAATAAGACTATTTTTTTATAATAAAAAAATACCAAAATATATTTTTGTTTGTAATTAGAAAAACATCAAAAATATATATATATATATAAAAGGGACACCGGTATCCCATCTGTATCATAGGGTTAAGCAAACACACCTTTTTCTTTCTCTTAAAAATTCAGTTTTTTTTTTCTGTCAAAAATGCAGATTTTTAATTTCCTAACTATAAGTATTAGCCATTATACTATAAGTATTAGCAATATATATTATACTATAAGTATTATCTACAAAATACGGTCGCTTTCGTTTAATCAAAAATGTTATCGAAAATTTTAGCCTCTTAATATTAATGTTTTTCTCCCTTACTCCAAAACTGTCTAGGAAAATAAAAAAATAAATAAAAAACTAGTACGCAATTCAAATACAATTTTTTCTAAATTTTTCTCCACACAAAAACGTTTTCAATTACTAATTATTTTTAATATTTAATGTTCGAAACAATTTTTTAGAATTACAAGGAATAAAAGTTTTCTTCATTGTGCTGCATTTTGAAATTTTTAATTGCTGAAATACAAAATTTCAATTTTACTAAAAATAGGACACTAGGGTCACTTTGACACTGCGTCAAAGGGTTAAACTGTTAATAAACAAATAATACTTGAAATATTTTTGAAAAGGTTGCTCGAGATAAATAGGGAGCTATACTTATATAGCTATTCTACAGAGAGCTATTCGATATAAAAGTTATTCAAGTTGTTTTTTATCGCACTGCAACACGTTTTACTAAATAATGTAAATGCATAAATGATAACGCAGGCTATGTTCGAAATCTAGCATTCTACAAAATATTAAATTTCAAATTTATTTTTTTCCGAACGTTGTAAAATTGGCCTACAAACGATTTAACATTATATTCTATAAAATTGCAAATGACAAACCAATAAAGAATTAAATACAGCAAGCATCTTATAAAATGTCTTGGTATTTTATAGACTCTGAATTCCATGGATTTTGCCGTTGATAATAATTTCCATAGATAAATAATAAAATAGGCCACCTTAATCACTTTCTTCAAGATAAAATTAGAATTTGTAAGGCATGAGCGCCGTTTAATTAAGCTGTTAATACAACAAAAAATATTTGAAATATTTTTAAATAGAGCTAGTCTTTTGACTTTTTAAATTTCACTCACCTATTTTAAACTTTTTTCGACGAAAAAACCATTTTCTGGGATGTTTATTAGCAATCAGTCTTTCCTTACATCGTAGATCTTTCATTTAAAGAAAATGATATTTCCCGGGTGAATAATAATTTTGAAATTTAAACCTTTACCATCTACAGTTACATCGCGGAAGTATGAAGAATTTTCCGGAATGAAGCGACTTCATTAATGGATGAGTCTTTCTTCCTTCCGTCGCAAACTATCAGATAACCAATCAATTTTAAGTTTTCAAAGTAGCATTAAAAAAAAAACATTTCTTGAAGATTTATTTACTAAGTATAATATACAGAAAAAAACATACAGTTTATAATTTTTCATAGTTTTTCCTTAGCCCCACCCCCAGATTTAAAGCCCAGATTTGTAGTTGTAATTGTATTAGTTGTTAGATAGCATTAGAGCTGCTCAATGGAAACGGTTTGGGAAACATCCTTGAGGGAGATCCAAAGACATGCCATCACAATTTTGATCCTCTGCGGAGGTGATGGCAACCTCGCTTCGATAGCCCGACGACCTGCGCGCTTTAATAGGCATTTGTTACAAATAATAAGGATTTGTTACAAATAGACAAACTCTTTCAAAATTTGATAAAAAACAAAAAACAATGGATACCCAACTAAAGTAATTAAATTCTACGTAAAATCATTGAGTTAATTGTATATTATTGTAAATAAATTTACTAAAAAACTTCTTTGCTAATTAATATAATTTTTTAATATAAACTTCGTTAATTTATAAAATTTTTACCACTCGCAAATCCATTTCGGACAAATTCATGGCTAAAATTATGTGCAACACAGGCAATTCATGTTTCTTTCTCTTTTCTATTATATTTAATTTTTTCTTAAATAAAAGTTAATTTTCTAAAATGATTAATTGTCAACTTATTTCAATTATCCAGTATAATATTACCTTGCACAAATCCATTTTCTGGCCCATCCTTGGTAACTAACAAATCAAACGCACTTCAGTACTGCAGTAAAAACGCACTATAAAACAAAACCCCTCTATTTACTCAATTTGCGCTTCTGTTTTTCATATTTTGTAATCTGGCTATCTTGTTACGAAAATATTTTATTCTTGAAAAATTTCCCGTTCATGTAAGTTCATTTAAATTCACTACTCGCTTTATAGATTTCGTTTTATTCTGTTTTTTCCTTATATTTTATTTTCTCTTTTTGCGTGATATTTTTACTTAATGTGTTTCATTTTATTTGTTGTATATTTTTTTGAGAGCTCCTCATACTATTGTATTGATATATTTTGCATTGGCTATATTAATACAATATTAGAAAGCACTCCTTTTTGCGGATATAATCGTGTGAGCTGATGAAAAGATTATATCTTTTATTTTCCGGAATTTTATTAATTATATTTCCTTTTTTCGGATTTTTTTAAAATTATTATTATTTTTCATTTTTCCTCTTTTCATTGTTCTGTAATTTTCCCCCATGTTTTCTCTACATTTTGAACTTTTTATATATTATATATATATAATGAGTTACTAGCAGTTATAAATATACCGATATACTAACAAAAAAAAAATACTAATTATTAATAATTTTTTTAAACATATTAATACAGCAAAGAAAGGTGAAGAATGAAATATATTAGTTTGTTTTTGGTGTATGCTGAAAATGAATAAAATAAACTGAATTGTGGTTTTCACAAAAGAATTGTCATAAACGTTAAGAATAGTAATCAGAGAAACAATTACTTTATTCTTGAGAAACAATTTCTTAATTATTATATTTTGAAACGCACGACGAAAAATACTTAGGGGATATTTTTAATGCATGCTCTTTTCATAAAAATAAATTATATATTTCCATCGAGAAATTCAAAATGAAGTAATCAAATTCAAGTTCAAAGAATCGTTTCTCTGATTACTATCTTAACGTTTATGACAGTTCTTTTTTTGAAAACCACAATTCAGTTAATTTTATTAATTTTCAGCACATCCACACACACTTTCAAAAACAAATTCATCTAATTAAGTCTTCATATTAAATGTTTTCAAAGTAAATAAATAATTAGTGGTCTTTTCTTTTTAAACTTAGCTACTTCTTTTTTCATTGCTATTTTACGTAAAAAATTTAATAAAAACAACCGAAATATTAAATAAATTATGGATTATTGCTTCAGATATCTGCGGAACACCTTTTGAGAATCACATTTTAAGGAATGAAAAAAAAGTTACGATTTTTTTTTCTCTTATAAGAATGAAAAGCTTAGAAGACATGAGCTGTTGATGCTGCCATCTAGGAAATGAATTAAACACTACATTTATAACTTAAAAATAAAAAAAACTTACCAGATGATAAAGAGGATGATGAATTTGTACCCAATTTCTGAAAGATAAAAAAAGTGAAGTATTACTTTTAATAATGCATAAATATCTAAAAAATAAACAATCTATTTTAAAAATTTACTAAAAAGAGAAATAAGTTTTTGCCCGCCTGGACACAAAAAAATATTTGTTTTATATGTATTCCATGACCACAAAAAACGTATCTTTATAAAACTTATATTTTTTTCCAGGAAAATTATATTTATGATAAACTCGCTATTTCCTCAAAAGGTAATAGATTTTTTTCTTGTTGTTTTTAAGAAAACATTACTTTTTGTAGTACTCTTTACTCGAAAATATTTATAAAATTTTTTAATTTCCTTTATTTATTTTTTTAATTCAAATAATTTAAATCACTATTCGCTAAAATATTCCATTTTTCTTTTAGGTACAATATTAAAATCTAGATTTACACTAGCAAGGGAAAAAAATCTAAAAATAGTTTTATTTATTCATGCATTTTTTATTTTTTAAATATTATTTATTTTAATTATATGAGTAATATAAGAAACTTTTTAAAAATTAAAATTACTCATATACATTTATAATAATTGCATTTAATTTAAACTCTAAGCATAATTGAAGAAAAAAGTTTAAAAATCAAAACTCAAAGCAAAGAAAAAGAAATATCAATATATTTTTTGTGAAATATTATTACCAAGAAACTATTTGATCGATTTTGTTCAAATTTTGGATTTTGTCATTAAAAAATTACATAATGTAAAATGGTATAAAAATAGGTGATCGATTTAAAACTTTTCAATTACAAATAAAGTAAATAAAATTTAAAAAAAAACATAGATATATATTGCATGGATTCGAACTACACTGGTTATCATAAATTAAGGAAAAATCACAAAAATAGCGATAACTCTTTCAAAAGTAAGCCAAACCGTGCAAAATNTAAATAAAATTTAAAAAAAAAAAACATATATATATATATTGCATGGATTCGAATTATTTTTCTGGGAAAACAAATTTTTGATTCGCTTGAATAATTTCAATAGCGTAATACGCAAAATGAAGTTAAGATAACATTAAGGTTCGCTAACTTCCATCCGTTCTTTTAATCTAACTATACTATTGGGATAATATTTTCGAGATTGGAGTAGATTTTTTCAGATTTTTACCATATTTAAGGCCTAGCTTATTACCATATGTAAATTTCACCATATATAAGATATAAGGTATACACTATTTAATGTCTAACATATTACTATATTTCAGGCTTACGTTTTTTAAGGTTCAGTATATAACCATATTTAAAATCTAGCATATTACCATATTTAAGGTTTACTATATTTAAAGTCTAGCATATTACTATGTATAAGGTTTATCTTATTTAAGGTCTAATGCTTGTATTCAATTGGTTATCTTAATCTTGCATTCAATAGAATTGTAATTCGATCTTTTGATTAAAAGTTATTAAAGTTCTTTTTTTATCACACTGTATACGTTTTACTAAATGATATTGATATTTAAAGGATAACGCTTTGTTTGAAATCCAGCATTCTACAAAATAGTAGATTATAAATTTTTGTAGAATGCACAAAAATGGACGACGACCAAACATTTCAAACATTATATTCTATAAAATGCCTAATGACAAACCATTAAAGTATAAAATACAGCAAATATTTTATAAAATGTCCTGGTATTCCATAGACGATTAGAACTCCATAGATTGCCTACATCAAAAATATTAAAATAGGCCTCCTTAATAATTTTCTTCAAAATAAATTTACAATTTTTAAGGCATGAGCGCCTTTTAAATAATCGCCCAATCATGCCTATGGCACACTTTCGGTTAATCTAATATTCCAGGTAATTTGGTTAACCGGTGCTTATTTGTGTCTTTAATTCAATCATGTAGCGACAATAATATGTCACGATCAGCCTAGGGAGGGCCTTGGCCTACTCCGAGAAAACTTCTGCCTGCAATTTTCTTTATCGCTAGACCTTTTAAATTCAGTACCCCAATTGGGAACTTGCAATTTGAGTAGAGTTCAGGGGATAAAGAATTCGCCTTTCAATGAGGCGAACCGGGTTCGAATCCCAGTGGAAACGAAATCTGCATCCGGCTTGCACTGACCACAGTGCTGACGTGAAATATCGTCTGTGGTAGACGGATCATGGATTAGATCCTACAGGCTAACCGTGGGAGGTTCTCGTGATCTTCCTCTCCATGTAACGCAAATGCGGGTTAGCTCCATCAAAAAGTCCTCCACGAAAGAAAATTTCTCCCAATACTCGATCCAAGAATTCCCTTGTCTTCTGGATTGAGTTCAAAATTACAAGACTACGGAGTTGTACATTAGTAGTCGTAAACCCTTAAAATTGGGTCGACTGTTCAACGACGGTTATAAAATATTAAAAAAATCCACGTGATTTGAATCAGATTTAATTGGATACCAGTAAACGACATGTGAGTCAAACCTGATAGGCTTCTGAATCGACAAATACCACGAATTACCTACAATGACGTCACTTGAAGGTATCCAAATATTTTGAAATCCACGTCAATTTAGTCTGGTCATCAAAGTTTTGGACATCATTTAGATCATTGTTTCTCAACGGGGATGATACCGCCCCTCTGGGGGCGTTGGGAGTATGCTGAGGGGCGGTGAACTTGCTTTGGGCGGTAGGGGGGCATTGGGTATGTTTTGGGCGGTAAGAGGGCGATGAGCATGTTTTGTCAATCAAATTTAATTTTAAAACTTACAAAAAATTATTAAATTAAATGTATTTAATAAATAAAATTAATCTAAAATTAATAATAAAAAAGATTAAGTTAATAAAATAAATTAATATTATCCGATGCACTTTTTGTACCACCAATAAAACGAACTTATACGACACCTATTCTTCGAACCAACACAGCACAGCGCATTAGTCAGTAGTTATTGCCTCTGATTTATTCAAGCTATTTCGCGAATGGCTCTGACTCATTCAAGCCATTTGGCGGAAATCGAATTGCATGAGCTTTCGGTATGAATGTTTGATTTGACCCGTGTTTCTCATGATGATTTTCGTTACCTTCTTCACAGTTTTTTCCCCAGTCTCGATTCGATCTCATTATTTATTTGGCCAGGTATGTGCGCGAATTAGTACTTTACCATAAATTATTTATTAATTTGGAGAAATAGTTGATTTTCTTTCATCGTTTGTATTTTGCTGCCACCAACAAATGTCGGTAAACAAAAAGAAGTATCATCAATACCGTGCCACGTACTTGAAGTCTGTATTTGTTCAATCGCTGTTGAACTCTCAACTGCCCATGCGTTTACTTTGTAATAAAGTTTTATCCAATGAGACAAGAAAAACTTTCCGCTAACAGGAGCATTTGCAAAAAACTCATACTCACAAACAAAATAAAGATATTTAATTTTTTGCGAACATCAAAGACAAGTTTGTGAAGGCACCTTCAGTCTCAGGGTTACTAGCAACATCATCACAAAAATGCGACGATGGATTGATAGCTTCTTATAATATATAAAAATTTGTTGCCAATTATGGGAAAGCTCATACCATCGAAGCAGAGTTGATACTGACGGTTGTCAAGGACGTTTTAGAAACAATTGTACACCATCCAGCCACATCTGTTGTAATCAAAAATATCCCATTAAGCAACGATACAGTGCTGGGACGAAATGGTGAGATGGCTGAAGACGTTGAAGTTTCTTTTTGCAAACTTTTGATATTCAACCAATTTTCCCTTCAAGTTGATGGATCAACCTTGCCATGCAACGTAGGCTTTACTGTATGCGTAGGTCCGGTTTGTAAAGGTAGAAAAAAGTATACAAGAGATGCTTTTTACAAGAAGCTTGATTGTAGATACCAAAGGTAAATCTATTTTTAATACTGTCCCAGATTATTTTACAGAGAAAAACATTCCCATTGTGAATATTACGTCGATTGCCACTGATGGAGCTCCTGCAATGGTGGGTTGACATCGTGGGTTTATCGCCCTTTTGAAAAGGGAAATACAGATATTTTAGCTGTTCACTGCGTGAATCACAGGCAGCATTTAGTAGGAAAAATTTCAGCGACCGTTTGCATCAGTTATTGCAATATATCATATTTGCTGTGCACAAAATTCACAGTAATGCTCTCAACTATTGAAGAATTCAATCACTTGCTACTACACTCCGAGATTCTCTGAATATCCAAAGGCGCCTGTCTCAATAGGTTTTGTAATCTTTTCGACTCTGTGCTTGAGTTCCTCTAAAAAAGAGATGTAGCTCTGAGAGACAGATTGCTAGAACCCAAGAAAGACTTCGGTGGATTTATTTGTAAAATTTAATGGCCTTAATTTACAACTTCAAGGCAACGAGCTCAATTTGATCCCTACATAATCAGTCATTTCTGCCTTTCTGAAGAAACTTATTTTGTGGAAGCAGAATTTTGGTTGGAATGAGTTCAGCCAAGCAGATGAAACTCGCTCTGATGATCCACAAGAATATTGTCAACACCTTGACTCTCTGCACGAAGATTTTTCTGACCGTTTTAAAGATGTTTTGTTCCCTGGAAGTCCCTTAATGGGTTATGGACTCTTTTGTGAATATTGAAACAGCACAGGTTCAGATTTATGAGGAATTAGTCAAACTTTCAACTAATGAAACTTTGAAGTGGTGATCGTCTCAGAGAATTTTGGCTTCAAGGTAACATCAGTTGCCTCTAATCTGAACTGCGGACTATCATTAAAAATTTTTTAAATGCCTTCCCTTCCTCCTACCTTGTCGAACGTGGAGTCAGTGCTGTTACGGAAAAAAAGAGAAATCAACTCGAAATTGTGCAACAAGGGGACTTGCGTCTTCACCTCACAAAAAAAATTTAACCGAACGTTAAGAGACTAATGTTTCGTTGATACTACTTTTTAGTGTAAAAAAAATATTTTGAGGTTTTTTTTAATTATCTAATTAAGAATAAATTATTCTTTTTAAGCATAGGTTTCTTTGTTGTATTTTTTTCCATTACCGTATTTATTTTAATTAATGCAAA